ATATTTTGGTCACCCGGCTACTATTATTTTTTAAATTTTATGTAACAATTCTGTCAAACTAACTGTCAGTATATTTTTGAATTATTGAGATAAAATGGCAAGTGTGACGATGGCGTGAGGACACGGAGTTTATCTCCAAGCGAGAGGCCCGAGTTCAAATCAGGGCTGGGGACTAATTAAATTAAATCTTTTTGTATTTTTATTTTATAAATTAGTAAAAGTCTTATATTATTTTAAAATTATTTATTTTGTCTTAATAAAATACTTTTTTAAATTTGTAGAATTTCGTTAGTGTGTCGTAGAAAAAATATACTATACAACTCGAGTGGATTGTCCATATCGCACTCAGACGATTAAGCACTCCGTCTACGGCGTCGTTCTTAAACTTCGTCTTCGTGCAATATGGCCATCATATCCAATTTTGTTGCACAAACTACTATTCACGCACAGACTACAAAACGAAAAAATATATTATTGCGTTCAACTCAACGAATATATTTCATATCCGTTCTAGGTAGTGAGAACACTGCAAAAAAATTAAATCCACCAATCACAGTTTATATATTGGACACCCAACTACTATTATTTTTAAAATTTTAAATAAGTGACAATTCTGTCAAACTAATTGTCAGTATATTTTTTAGGTATTGAAATTAAACATACATTAAAATGAGTTAATTTTTGTGTAGAATCCATAAATAATTTTAATTTATTTTTATTTGGACCACATTTTAAAAAATCTTAAATTTGAATCAAACTACCTATATGAAACTAATTTAATTTCTACTATTAGAACTAAAATTTTAAATGTGGAGGTGAAAATGAGGATACGGCATCTGTCTTTCAGGCTAGAGGCCCGAGTTCAAATCTGGGCTGGGGACTAATTAAATTAAATATTTTTTCATGTTTATTTTATTTCACAAATTAGTGAAGTCATAAATTATTTTAAAATTAGTTATTTTCTCTTTTCCTAAAATAAATTTGTAGATTTTCGTTAGTGGATCGTAGAAAAAAATATACTGTACAACTCCTTTGGATTGTCCACTTTTGTTGCACAAACTAGTATCAAATGGATTATTATTTAAAAAACGTGTTTTTATACAGGGGATTTGTAAATAAGTACGGAAGATTTTTACAAATTGTTATCAAAGTTATTTTGTTAAAAAAAGTTCCTATAAAAGTAGGTCAAAACATACTTCGTTTCCGGGATACAGAATGTTTAAATTTTAATTTAATAAATTTTATTAATTATTTCAAATAGTTTTAATGATATTTACTCTAAATTTGCAAAAAAAACTTTGAAGAGACAAATAAGTATTTTTTGGGGTGTTCCAAATATTTCTACTTGTACTAGTGGGTTTGTGCGAGAATGCCACTTTTTTAATAAAAAAAATACTGCGCCACTGACTTTTTCGATCTATATTTTTTTTTATAAAATAACTTCGGCAAACATTCCCTAAAATCATTCACACTTACCAACAAACACCCTGTACATAAGAAAATGTAGAAATAGGTACTTTTTAGATATTTTTCCGAAATAATCATAGAAAATACATATGCATATTTAAAAATATATTTCGTGAATAAATTAATTAGTTAGAAAAAAGATTTTCGAAAATGTTACACCAGGTTATACTTTTAAAAAATATTTTAAACGAGAAAACAAAACAGAAATACTTTTTGTTAGACCGAACCTGCGATTTATCGGCCTTTTTTATATTTTAAATCATCTATAGTTTATAAGTAATAAATTGAAGGGAGCGTAAGTCAGGGAATAGAGCAATGTTGCCAAAGTGGGTTCAGATGCACTAAAAGTTGTCAGTGTGTTCTAAACCTGAATTTGCTGTTAGGTAGCGCATGGATATCGCTCTTAACAGGAAAAATAAAAAAAATATTTAATTTTTATATTTATTGCTTATAATAATAGCCTTTTTACCAACATAATCAACTCGACCCATGCAACAAAGATTCATTTTTGAGAGTTTTTAGTTACCTTTATCCAGCACATATATTTGTCAAAAGCTTTGATCTAAATAAGTATCGTATATCTAAACGAAGAGGTTAAGCAACCAGAAATACTACCATCAAATATAGTAAATCATTTTAGGCCATAAAATACTTTGAATACTATATTATCTTAGATTTTCTCAAAACTGGAAATAATGAGTTACTATAGTCTTCGTTGCATGTGTCGAACTATTCCATTACAGAATAATATAAAAAAATGTACAAAAATACATTATCAATGTACAATCACTCATTAGAAAATGTAACTGTACACGATGACTAGTAAACTTGAGAATAAAAATAATTATTAAAAAGAGTATTCTCTCAAGTACAAAATCAATCATAAATTTCAAGCTGTACATTTTCATTTATTCTATTAAAGAAGAGATCACATGAATTACTTATGTTATTAATATCATAATTATTCACACAATATCCAAACATTACAAACATCAGTGTGTTAAAAAGGTAAGAATAAGAACACTTGCGAAGTGTCATACAATTGTTTGTAAGATAATAAGTAACATGGATTAAATAATATATTATAAAAGTATTAAGACTAAAAACTAATACAAACTACAAATTAAAATTATGACTAAGTACATTTTACATAAAAACTAACAAACAAACAAAATAGTACCTACTTGTGTTAATAGATGATTTTAAAAGAATAATTATTCTATATGTTTTAAAACATCTTGTTAAATAAAATTATGGAACATTGAAATAATAATTTGATTATCAAATAGTTTATGCAAACATAAAAGTGAAGCCATAAATATTCTGCTTCCGTACCAAGAACACAGTTTTTGTAATAATCATAAACTGATTTTAGATTTATTTGAAAATATAAAAGAATATCTTGTGTAGTGCCATTATTTATCGATTCTTCACAATAATCATTTGTAATTTATATTTAATCTCAATAACTAAAAACTATGCTGAAAATAAGTTTGACAGAATTGTTACTCATTTAAAATATTGGTGGATTTTTCGTTCTTTAATCAATGCGTAAAATAAATAATATACATGTGGGTGTAGAACAAAATCAAAAGGTATTCGATCGAATTAGCTTGATAGTTCTTTTATTATTTGAAACAGTATACACCTAGAACACTTTATTAAAACTCCTGAAATATGTTTGCACTGTCCACTGTTCCCAGCTTAAAACAAACACTGCCATTCACTAGTTTGGAGAACAACTGCAAAAACGTGTTTATCACTAAATTCATTCTTTCCACATAAAAACTATGTGGCCCGCATTTAAAATAGCATCTTCTTTAATAACAGTCCTGGAATTTTCACCTGCATCAATATACTTCATAAGTTCTATTAAACTTAGCCTTATTCCAGACATCTCACTAAAAATAAAATAAATATATTAATATTTTATTAAAAGATAACAAATATATCTTAAATTAACATAAATGAATGAATGTAATTTAAAAACAAAATAATAGGGGGTTACTTACCAAATAAAAATATATATTCTACTTTAACCTAAAAACTATTGAAATAAAAGTATCTAATCACTAAAAATTAACAACAACAATATGTTTTCCCTCGTGTTTTCCTTAAAATAGCACAATATAAACTAAATACTTTTTATGGGTTGTTTGTTTACAAACTCAAAAATGTAAACAATAACAAGCCATAACAATTAGTTTAAATGTTAAGTACAGACGGCGTTGCGATCTTAATTTTAGATCCCAATAGATTGAATTTTGAATATCTGTTGTTTTAATTCTCAAGCCTTCAACATTCTGGTAAAAAACAAAAAAATTAAATGAAGATGAAATATTTACTAGAGAACAACTTACTGGTAATAATTCTGATTGCTTCTGAGCACTGAGTAAATCTTACTGGTAATAAATCTGATTGCTTCGGAGCACTGAGTAAATCTTTCCTTAGCTCCTTAGATTGTTAACCGCTATTTTATATTTAATTACAGATGCCCCTCGTGAAAACTGTCAGCCAATTGTTGTTTGGAGTTTATACTATATGCATATAACGTTTTTCCAGATATTTTTACATATATTGAATTCATGTTATCTGCCAAAATCCCCTTATTCAAGGTTCATAACATACCAACCTACTATGGTACATACATACATGAAAAATTTTAAGCTTCATACCATAACTTATGTCTAGTGGTCGGTGGCCCACTATTACATTAGCATATAAAGAGGATCATAACAATTTGAATCTAATAATTTTCCGAACACTTTTTGTTATCTCTCTCTTATCCTCGCCTTACAACTGTTGGGTTGGCTACAAGGATTACCTCCTGTCATCGGTACTTTAAAAAACTAATCGATTCTTTATAGTAAGGTGCCACTAAAACTTTTTGGTACACATTTGCACAAGGCCAAATTACAAATGTATCATTAACTCTTAACCCGAAGAAGATGGAAATACTTTGCCGCAATCGAACTAGCAGTGAAATGTCGGGTCAGCAACCAAGAAGGTAATGTGAGCCGAATTTCAAGAAAGCAACAGTAAACTTTTTTCTACTAACTTTTAGTAGAAATAATATCTAAAAATTTTAGGTTTATGCTTCTATGACAGCATTGTTTTTAAAATGTCACCGTCGAGGGCTATATCGCTGTGCAGCAAACTATTTCCTTGTTCTACAAGGTAAGAATGAACAAAACATCTGTAATGTTACCTTCAGCAAATAACACACCCAAAAGTGTCACCAACTACCCTACCAATACTATCAAAAACAAAATGACATTTGCGGATGTAAATTTTTATGATTTTAAGCGAAAGTAATAGAAATCAGTAATAACGGGAAAGGTTCATTGTAATTTTTACAGAATAATTACATCTTAAAATAGAATAGTACTTATTACAAAATTCAAAGAAAGTTTATGAAATGGATTTTGTTTTAAAAATAATTTTGTACTATATTTCAACTGCTTAATAATCTGATATGTTATGTGATAAAGTGACAAGAAATTGAAGAAATTTATTTTTATATTTGTTATTAGAGGGTTCCTAGATCTATGAGTAGTTCAGTGGCTTCAGTCTCGGCCTCAGCTGCTGATGTTATGACGGGCTCCATAAACACCTGCAGTTCAGAAGCCAGAATACTTCTGTACGTTTTCGAGGTTAATTTGGAAATCAAAGAAGATGACGGGAAAGTGAGTTGGCAGTATCTTTATAGCGAAACATATTTTTATGAATTGTTTTTAGGGATCCTTTTCAGCTGTGGGAAAGGACAAAAATGGTTTTAGGTTAAAGAGCAATTTAGAAAAGCAGTTGTGTTTAAGTATTCGTCAGGTATCTGATAACGGACCTCAGTTGTTTATCGAACGATGTTTTGGAGTTTTGATTGCTGCAGGAAGGCATGTCAGACACTCGGATATGCAACTTTTGGAAATGGTAAGTTCATATTTTTAAACAAACTTAAATGCACATGCAACTTTTAATCAGCACAGTGTTATTAAAACCCTTTAATAAACAAGGTTTTTCAGTAAAGTATAAAAAACTTTAACTGACTATTATGTGGTCAACATGTAGGTAAGTTCTTAAATTCATTCATTATCCACCTGCATCCCTATGAAGAATTGTGCAAAAACTCAGTTTTTAATTTTGAATTTTAATTATCTCATATCAAACTGAAAATTTGGTATATTAAAATTGAAGGCAATACTTTTAAAATTAGAATCTAAAATACATAGTAGGCTGTCATCTATTTGCCAGTATTAATGTATTTTCCCACAAAAGGTTGGCACGAAAAAAGAGTAAAAGATAATTATTTAGGAAAGAAGATGTTGAAGATTGTCTTTTATTTATTGTGACGCGGAGCCATCTCTGTACTTTGTTTACTCCTTGCTCGCGTTATGAAGTCTAGCGCTGGCCATATAGACAAACGAACCGCTTCTCGAAATTGCCGGAATGATTGCGGTGTGGCGTATGAGTCATAGAGAGGGACTTCCGAAGCTTCTAGAGGCATTTTCGGAAACCTACTATAGATACCAAATCCAGATTACTTGTTTTACCCGATGGATCACGTGGATCACTGAATTTAGAGCTGACAGTTTACGAACAAGTTGGATTATTGATCCTGTTTATCTACGGCTGTCATTCTTTGACTTTTCTCCCCTATTTGTTAAAGAACCATTTTAATTAAACATATTTGTAATCTGAACAATAAAGTCGCAAAATGGGCATAAAGATTACAAGTTATAACTAATTGAATGTAGAACAAACTTCAAATCTACTACTGGCAGACACCAAACACCAAAAAATTGCGTTATCCCTTTATAAAATCCTGCGGTGCGCTCGCGGATCTATTACTAATCTACTCGTAGAGTGGGTCACAAAATATTGATCTCGATCACAAAGCTGGATCAGTAATCTACCAGTTTCCGAACACGGACAAGGTTAGTAACCATAGGTAAATGAACAATAGGATCCATAATCTTTCTGATCCTAGTAAGTTTCCGAAAACGCCTTAGGTCGCCTAGGGTTCTGGTACAGAACTGGCTTTATATAAATAGCCGCGACTATGAAGACTAGGGAGAAGGAGGCGAATCGGCAATGGTCAAATTTCCGTCCTTCTTTTTATAAAGTTCGCGAAATTGACTGTAGTTGGCATGTCTAACGACAGCGTAGTCAATTTTCTATGTAAGTCAATGTAAAATGAAGTTATTTTTTAAAAAATTGGTGAAAAAATCGAAATAATATGAAAAAAAGTAGCTGAGTACAAGTAACATGAATGATAAAAAACATCAAAGAAAGATTTACGTCGTTTCACATTGTAAAACAGGATAAAAATCAAATGTAATAATGTTATAAATAAAGTGTTTTAAATATATAAACTATAAATAAATTAAACTATCGTTACATTATTTTCAATTAATAAATATTCAAATTTTTTACGTTATTTAGCAATGTGTTAGTTTGATGTTTCCTTTAATAAACACCTTTGTCCTGCTGAAGGTTGCATTGGAGCTGTTCTTTGTAGTCGATTCTTGTTCGTCAGACTAAAGCTGATGACGATACATTTCTGTAATTGGCAAATAAAACAAGTGAATTAAAATGTTTATTATATAAGATCAGTCCCATCACAATCAGCTGGGACGAATCCTCAAAAAGTTGATTCGAATCACGAATCCGAATCACGAGATGTTATTCGAATCACGGATCCTATGGCCGAATCATTTTTGTAATAAAAAAGAATTCGAATCAAGTGATTCGAATCCATTTCTTCGGATCACGAATACGAATCACTGTTAGTGTCATACCATGGTATTATGTATGCTTCCGAATCTAATATCAATATCAACTATGTGTCTATTACAGACTATCACTTGCATACAAATGGTTGATACAAGAAAATGTTGAAAAATAAACTTTTTTTTTTCTATAAATATGAACCATAAATAAATTAGAATCTACAAAAAATATATTTTATTTTAATGCAAAAAACAAAATAATAAACAAACAATGACGGCACCAGACGAAGGAAGTGTTGAATTTTAGTATTTTTTTATGTTGGATATTCATTGCTAATTTGTAATGTCAAAGAAGGCAGCAGAGCACCTAGGCAATTTTGAGTTGAAACATATGCCATATTAATAGGCTATTTTAAAGCTATTTTTATACTACTCGCTTTTTTGCAAAAATCAAGGTGCTCTGCTAGCTTCGAACGAAGTCAGCAGATCATTTCAGTTTTTTAAGTTTTTTTCCAAATACATCGACACAATATTTGTAGGATCTTAAAATATTATTTTTAAAAAATACAAGGTGCTTTGCTAGCTTCGAACGAAGCCAGCAAAGCACCTCTGTTCCCACAAAGCACCTAGTATTATTTATAAATAGCAATTTTTAGTAAAGTTTTAGAATATTTCAAGAGCCTTAAAATAGCCTAAAAATGCAGTGTGGTTGTTTTTAGAAAAAAGCTTTAAAAAACCGAGGTGCTCTGCTGGCTTTGTTCGAAGCTAGTAGAGAACCTTAATTTTTGCAAAAAAAAACAAGGAGCATAAAATTTTTGAATAGGGTATAAAAATAGCTTAAAAGTATGACATAGGTTTCAACTCAAAATTGTCTAGGCGCTCTGCTGCCTTCTTTGACATTAATTTGTAGATTGTTACGTTTATCTTCTAAATATTAACAATTGGTCTTCAGTCTCAGTCTGTTTCAGTTTACAAGTCAAAGCGCGAGTCGACCATTCAGGCCGGCGTAGTTTGTTCTCTAAAAGGATCCGAGACTAATACTGATGATTCGAATACGAATCCTTAAGGATTTCCTCGGCGAATCCAGATCACGGATCCTTTTTTTCTTAAGTATTTGAATACCACTCCCGGATCCTCAAAAAGGATTTGAATCCTATGTGATTCGAATCCTCCCCAGCTCTGATCACAATACATAACATTACACATATACAAATTAGAATGAAGATATATAATACTTGGCATTCTAAATTATAATCTTCACATTTTAACAGCCCCCTTTAACCTCCATTTTATTCAGATTTTTTTCTCAATCAATAGGCCTCTGCTCCTTATAGAGCTTGATTTTTAATAAAAATTTCATATTGATATCGCTTTTCATTTTTGATTTGATTTTTTTTTAATTTCAACCCACCTTAAATCCCTTAGTTTTAATCAGATTTTTGCAAAATCAAAGGGCTTCTTCTCCTTATAGAACTTAATGTTTGCTACTAATTTCAAGTTGATATCACTTTTCGTTTTTTTGTTAGGATTTCTTTTATATTTTAACCCCCTTAACCTCCCGATTTATTCAGATTTTTTTCAGAATTAATAGGCTTTATCTTCTTATAGAGCTTAATTTTTACTAAAAATTTCATGTTGATAACGCTTTTCGCTTTTAATTTAGGATTTTGTTTTATTTCAACCCATCTTAACCCCCTATTTTAATCAGATTTTTTTTAATACCATTAGGCCCTGTCCCCTTATAGAGCTTGATTTTTGCTTAAAATTTTCAAGGTGATATCATTTTTCGTTTTTGACAAAGTAAACCTATAATACTCTTCACAGACTACTGTGTGAAGAAGGCTAAAACAATAACATAGACTAAAAAAAATAGGTAAAATAAAAGAATGATAAAGTCAAAGTTTTGAAAATTATTTAAAAGGTAATCAGTACCTCGGAGGTAGACTGCACTATGTCATTCTAATCAACTTTTTAGTAGAGCAGACTGAATATTGTTTGGACACTTTTTGTGTTCCATATTTACATATATTAATTATATTTCGACAAGAAATACAGTTAGCCCCAATTATTGTCACAATATGTATTGTTTACTAATAATTTAACCATTAAAACTTTTTATAATATACATGAATAGTTAGTTTTTGTAACATATTTATATGTTCTGATAACAAGTTTTCTCTGACATAGTGTTGTTGAAATACATTCAACGTTACATTCAATATACATTCAGTATTACTAATTTCTGAAAAACTTCTACAGCCGTCCCTGTTCAAATGCTTCATCTATCAATGAACGAACATCCTGTGTCTTGAAATCAAAGTTGTTTATAGCAATATAGCGCTTTACCTGATTACATACCATAGAATAGAATAGAATTTTATTATTAGCATCAGATTACATATACATATCTATAATACATCAAAGGTAAAGGTTTTCAATAACCTTTAAAGCTAACAACATCGGTGCACAATGGTATTCAGAACACTGTGTGTGCACTCAGTCTTAAGTATACTTTGTCAATATTAAGTAGAAATTACAATTCATTTATTAATCGTTTATTTACAATGAAAATTTGGAAGTGTAGGAGTAGATAGTGAATATGTTAAAAATGTAGTATTTAAAAAAAAGCATATACGTTTATTTTAATTAAATAAAACAAACCTTAGAAACGAAGCTAACTTAAATCTAACGTAAGTATTTTGGCAAGGATTTATGCAAAACATAAGCATTAGACCATAATTGTTACTTTATAATTAGATTCAATTATGCATTTTATTATGTCTTTTTTTATTAAGTGGTATGGTTTAACCCTTATATTCTGTGGCAATAAATTAAAAATATTTTGAATTATATAATAAATATGATTCATGCATACTGAATGTTTAAGGTTTTGCAGAGTAAGATTATTCTCGGCTGCATTTCTTGTGTTTATGCCATGGTTTAAGATGTCTCTATAATAATGACTTTTTGACATAAATCTGATAATCGATTTTACATGAAGTTGACTAGGACTTAATAAATTACTTTCTCTGTACACCAAATCCGTAGGATACCTTTTACTTTTAAGGAGCATTACCTTTATTACCCACTTCTGAGCAATAAACAGTTTAGATATTATTGATGTTCCAGCGCTTCCCCAAATTACAATACCATACTAGAGCCAAATAAACTGGCTTTAATGTTGAAAATGATAAAATATTT